CCCTTAGACCCAGTTTCACAGTAGCTAGTTAGCTTAACTAGTTGCTAAGTAGTGATGCCAACCACTGAAACAAAATTCGATAAGCTATTTACAGGGTTAGATTTTGACAAGTTGCATTTTCGCAAATAAGCTTAAAAAATATGTATAAATATATACTGATAAATTTATATATTGGTATATATATATTGTATATATATACATATATATATAACTTTGTAAATAGCTTACCGAATTTTGTATTAGTGGTTGGCATCACTACTTAACAACTAGTTAAGCTAACTAGCCAGTGAAAACTAGTATTGTGCCGTTGGCTTAAGTTATTTTTCGATTCAATTCTAGGGGTAAAGAACCGATTCACCCAAAAATCGACCAGTGAAGAATCGATTTAAAAAAAAACGATTTTTCCACCAAAAGAATCGATTTTTTAAAGAATCGAATCGGAATCGAACAGCCCTACTAGCCACTGTGAAACTGGGCCTAAAGGCCTGTGTCCACGATGCTAGACCTTGGTCCAAGTTCTAGTTTCGTGTACACCTTAAGAGAATTCATATTTATTTCTTCAAATCTAGCAAATGTAGATAGACGTAAATAAAAATTTAGTTAGATTCAAAGAAATACGATTTCAACGTATCTCATTTGTTTAACCTAACCCAACTAAATCTTTTTTCTGGGTGCGCGAGGCTTAATCCGCGACGATTCTTTTGCGCTCGACGGAGTTCGTGTCGAGCCTCGAGGTGTCTCTCGAGGGTGAACTTCTTTCCAAAGTTTCTCCGTCGCGTGGGAGGGAAATCGGAGCGTGCGAATGCGTTAAAGGTTCATTAAAATTTCACACGATTGACGGCGGGACACCTTGTACACGAGCACGGCACGCGGAAGCATTGATCGCGGAGGGCATTTACATCGCGCGATTGAAAGCTCGCGCGCGTTTACGTGACCCGATCTGCTAACCGCGCCGATCAATTTTCGTCACCATCGCGCCATCGGCGGCGCGGCGCGGCGCGGTGCATGCGGTCGAAAAGTAGAGCAACCTGAGGAGCGAAGGCAGCAGCTAACGCAAGAAATATAAAGCGCCGGCGATGCTTCGTTAACGAAATTGCATCGCGCTCGGGCTGCAACCCGAGATGACATCAAGACTCCTCTCTTGCAGCTAGTTCCAACGTTGCAAAGAATTATATTTGACAGCAATTTCTTACCCCATCGGACTGTTTAACGCCGGGACCGCGGACGATTGACGCATATCTATTTCCAGGGTTGGAAAAGTTACTTTATAAAAGTATCTAGTTACAGTTACAGTTTTTTTGTTCAAAATGTAACTAGTTACAGTTATACAAACAGTAACGATCGTTACTTTGCAGTTACTTTCTTGCAATGAAAATAAAAATATCAAATCTGCATTTAAATTGTAAAGCGTCGATAAAGGCATTTATGTACAAATGCAAGGCCTAATGCAATCTGTGAGGGTTTAAAATATATATAAAGTAACTATTAATGTAACTATAAAATTAGTTACTAGTTGTCGAAAAATTTAACTAAGTTAAGTTACAGATGGAGAGAAAGTAACGAAGTTAAGTTAGAGTCACCAAAAAAAAGTAACTGTAACTTCGTTACGAGTAACGAGTTACTTCCCAACCTTGGTCATAAGCAACTCCCCGCGCGCCTAGCAATGCCGATCGCGGGATGGCCGCATCTCGCCGCGCGCTTCAATTGGACGGTAGGCCGGGCTAAGACAGTGATCTTTAATAATTAATAACTCGTTAACCATTACCAAAATTGCAAAATGGTACAGGACTTTTTCGCTCAATCTAATCCGCTCAAACCGTAAATAAGAGGTGATACGGGTATTACATAACACCCTGTATAGAAGCCTGTGATTCGATGCTGAGAAATCGGTTTAACAGCGATTTCATGCACTAGTGTAAAGCTTAATCTACAATGGCTCTTTGCATTTAGAAACGTTCTATTTTGTGGTTCAATGGTCAATAAGTGCGTTAAAAAATTCGTACAAGTTGATAAATCGTACACTATACATTGTCCAATCGTACAATGTCGACAAATTTTTCAAGATTTTGCGTATGTAAAATAGAATGTTCCTAGACGCAAAGAGCACACTGTAGATTAGGTTTAAGCAACTGAATTCCCTACAAGTGTGCTATTCGTATATCTCTGGAAAAAAAGATGAAGGGAAAAGTAAGCGGATCGATTTGATCATTCACTGCGACAAGAATCATGGAAAACAAAATGGAAAGACTACATTTACAGATCAGTTATTTCGACCGCTTTAGGCGTTCTAGCGGAAAACCCATATTAGGGGCTCGATTATGAATCTTGTTTTCTAGCGCGAGCTCGTAAAACGTGACAAATTTCATTGAAGAAGTCAATATTCGTCACTGAAATTGTTCACTTTTCACGAGGTCACGCTAGAGGAAAAGATTCACGCTCGGGCCCCAGACTACGGATTGAGATCGAGATTAGACTGAAATTTGACCAATCAGAGCGAAGTTTACTAATCTCAAGTTTAGTGACTTTTACTCCGATTGGTCGAATCTCAATCTAATGACAAATTACAATTAGTAAACTTTACTCTGATCGGTCAAATTTCAGTCTAATCTCAACCTCAATACGTAGTCTGATGCGGGCTTTAGGTGACTGTTTAATGACGACATATTTAGAAATTCAATTATTGCAATACAGATTGAAGTCCACAACAGACAAGTAATTAATGCATCCTTAGTTTTCGGTTCAGCCTGCCGTTCGTCCCGAAGAAAAAAAAATAAATAAACTGCAACACGAAGATAATTGCGCGAGCGAGAGTGAACGGAGCCCGTTTTTAAATAGACGCCTCGCGAATGACTTGTAAAAGGAATGACTTTTTAAACTTCCGACGTCCCCTCCTCCCCCCTTCCCCTGCTTCTCGGCGCAGCTCGCGATTCGGTAACGCGACAATCGTCCTCCTCTCTCAACAGGGCTCTTCGAGCGTGTGCAACGCACACGCACGCTCGCATGCATGCACGCACGCCCGTCACGTCGCCGCAGCACGTCACGTCACGTCACGCGTCGCGCGCGACACTCACACGCGCGCGTCGCTCCCGTTTCTCGCCGTGGCACGGATCTGTGCGCATTGAACTTACCGAAAGCCACGAAGGGGCTCGCGCGTGATTTCGTCGATCGCGCGCCGCCCGCCGATAGTTATTTACCCGCCGCCGCCGTCGCGACAGGTGCACACGTGATTGCGTCGCTCGCGTTTCCGTAAATGCGGCTCGCCTACTCACCCGGACTCGATCCGAGCGGGCGGCTCGCCCCGGACGCTCCACGGCCGTCTCCACCGGGGAAGAGGTTGCCTTGCGATGCGCGTCTCCAGCCCGACCCTACCCTCCGGTCGCCATCTTCGATGCGCTTCAAGCTCCGCCGAGCTGAGCTGAGCCGAGCCGAGCTGAACGCGCGGCGCGGCGCGGCCGAGACGCGCCGCGCCGCGCCGCACCGCCGGGCTCCGGCAATGCTCGAGGGGGGTGAAGTTGGCGGCGGTACGATCGATAGTGCGGCCGCGTGACGTCAGATGGCGCGACGAGGCACTTTCGCGACGAAAAGCAGCCCTATCTCTTCGTATTTTCATATTATACATTCCATCCCGCGCTGCCTAGTCCTGGCCCACGTGGACTCGACAAGAGAACCAGCGTCACTAACCCTTTCAAGAAGATCCCACAATGCGGCCTTTCTGAAAAAAAATATAGAGGCATAAATGTTAGTGGCTGTCACAAAAGAAAAAAAAACCCGGGAAATAATTAATGCGTCTAATGCCAATTTCTACCAATACAGATTAACTTTAAACTCGGTTTATAAATTACTTTTTATCTCTTTCTAATTCGTAGGTAAAACTAGAAAAGGACGTAAGGTGAGCTGAACCGAGATTAAAGTTAAACTGCGTTGGTAGAAACGGGCACAAAGGCGACAAGCGATTGACAGATGCAGAATCGGACGCGTTTGTTAGCGACGAGAGCAAGTAGAGAGAAGCCTCCCCGTGGAGAATAGGGAGTCGCACACTTAGTACAACTGATCGATAGAAAGTAAAAAAAATTGAGGTAAACCATGAAGTACCGCGATCAAATTTTTTAAAACGTATTCGTTATCGCCCTTTTATCGCTGTGACAGCATCTTCGGAGTTCACGGACGCGGTAACGATATATTTCTTTGAACTATGGATCGAGTTAATCGGAATTTCGCCCGAGTCGCGCCGGAGCTCCGCGGCGACTCGGTGGCGCAAAGAGGGCCTGCAATTTTACATTTAGCGCAACACCGTAATTTGCGTTCTAGAAGAGCGGTCGCGAAAAAGTAAGCCGCGCATCAGCGTGGATGAACGAGAAACGCCGTCGAGCGGTGACTCACTTTGTCGAGCTTTTAAATGGCCGACGCGAGTCTCATTGCGCGTGGGACATGTGTGGGACCGTAACGCTCCCCTCGTGATCAGCGCTAATGACTCTCGCGTCATTTCGCTCCGGAGTTTACCGACCTACTTCCTCGGATGGGAATTAAAGTATCGGAGCGATTAGTAATCCGTTTTAGATCTCTTATCTTATCATCGTCGGCTCCGTCCTTGTAGTTGTTTGCTCTTTTGTAATCGCGTTCCGTTACTTCCTGCGTTTTATGAAAAAACGAAATGAGAGAGAGGGGGGGGAGAGAGAGAGAGAGAGAGAGAGAGAGAGAGAGAGCCATGTGATTATTACGTTTGATTATTTTCGGCGAGATTCTTTTTGCGTGCAGTCGTGAGAACCAGGATTCGCGAAGCAACGAATCGTCACACGATCAACCGTTCCCTGATTAGATCGCACGGCACTGCAACTGTTGCCTCGTGCGTCTCCTACCGTAGCAATTAATCTTCGAGGACGCGATAAGCGAGCCACGTGTCGCGATCACGACCGATCAGTGATTTGAACGCCAAAAATCCGCGCCGAAAGCCTCGCCCGGCGAGATCACCGCGAGTCGGTCGCCGCGCATGGTGATTTCAACGCTTAGGGCCCGATATTTTCGTGGCCCGTCGAAATGCGACCCGGCAGGCTCGTTTATCCGAAACGTCTGGCTCGTCGAGCACATCGGACGATCGAGAGAGGCGTCGAACGTGAAAAAAAAGGGAATCCACAGACATGTCCATGGCTGGGCTGGGCAGAAAGAAAGGCTGCATGTTGCGCGAGATTGTTCTGCGAAGGATCGAAGTCTTTCGGAGAATCGAGATCGGATGAACAAATGGCGGCGTCGAAGACTCCGCGCGTCCATTCGACGAGATTGCTTTTTACGTTTTATAACGAAAAAAAAGCTGTATTCTTAGCAGTCGCGAAGAAACACGGCAGAGAGCATAAATACGTATTGGTTGAATTATAAATGAGCGATACCGGTCCGAGCGCGAGTCTCCGCGATAGATCGGATAAAAAGATCTGTCGCTATATCGACGGTTCACGGTATCAGCGGTACAAGCGTTGCGATTATTCGAGAATTAGTCGAGCGACACGCACGAGATGGCAGCAGTTGCTCCGAAGTCGCGCGGTTGTCTCCGTGCGATAATAACGCGTATAGCGCACATTTGTATCGTCTTAACACATGCATTATCGTCCGCCGGGAAATTACATACGAAAACTTATTCGTCGATTTATTCGTGGCGCATAAGGAGAGACACAAAAGAGACAGTTCTCGAGCGCTGCAATTTGGCGCGAGAACGTTTGCAGTCGACCAATGCGCGCGAGAAAAGCGTCTGTCTATTTTTCTGTTTCGCGCCACGCGATAACGCGCACTCGACTCAATTCTGTATCTTGCACTGTAGTGAAAATGCTAAAAGTGAGTAGCCTTGTCTCTCTCTAACCGTCTCCTTAGAAAGAGACAAAACCGCTCGCTTTTAGCGTCTTGTAAGATACAAAATTGACACCCGGGTGTCTCGGGCGCGCCGAGTGGGGCACCCGGAGCCGAGTGAAGTGCGCGCATAATCGCGAGAGTGCGGCACCGGCACCGGACGGACCGACGGACCGCACGGACGGTTCGCGCACGATGCCGGCCGGAGCCGAGCGCGGCCGAAGTCGCGCGAACGCGAAACTCACGAGCGGAGTGAACGTAGACGCGCACTCGGGCAGTGCGCGGACCGGACGGACAGTGCAGCGGGACGAGCGAGCGAGCGTTGGCTACGCCGGGGGAGTTAGTGGATTTTGCCGATTTTTCCCGGGCTGTCAAGCGCGCGCTCCGAGCGGAGCGCCCTACTCTCGCGGCGCGTGAAAGCGGTGCTTCGTGAGTGAGACGCCCCTAGCGCGAGCACGCCTCGCGCGTATCTCTCTTCGCCGCCTTGCTCTATCTATTTCTCTCTCTCTCTCTTTTTCTCTCTTTCTCTCTCGCGCGCGCGCGCCCGCTCTGTCATCCTTTCTTTCTCGCGCTCTCCGTATCTCTCCCCGCCGCGCGCTCGGCATCCGCGTGCTCGTCTCTTTCCCGTCGCGGTACGCTCGATAATCGTACGCTCGCGGACAACGACGGCGATCGCGACGCGAGACGGTGACGTCCGTCGCGACACTGACGTTTTTGCCTCCGATCGGCTGCCGCGCCGCGTCGCGTGTGCACCACCAGTTGCGTGTTGCGTAACTGCATTTTACACAACAGCCCGCCGCCTCTCTCTCTCTCTCTCTCTCTCTCTCTTTCACTCGAGTCCCGCGGGTGCATCGGCCCTGTCCCTCCCGCGCCCCTTCCGCTTCGCTCCGCCTCGCCGAAGGAGTTTGGCGCTACGGAACCTTGGTATCTTGACGTCTGGAGCGCACGACTTCGCTGCTGGTGAGTCGTCCTTTTGCTCATTTTCGACTTGTTTCTCCTCTCGACGCGCCCTTAATCCTCTCTCGACGTCTCGAATCTCGCTCGGCTGTTCGTAACACTCGCTCGCGCCGAAGGTACCAGCGATTCGCGCGGCCAATGCCGGGAACAACGAGCGAGAGTTATCGCGACGGTCGCGAGGGGGTTTCGAGAGATCTCATACATTTTAACGCCCGCCTCTACCAATGCAGATTAACTTCGATCACGGTTTAACTTACTCTTTGTTTAACTTTCTCTAGTTACAGAAATTGGAAGAGGAGAAAATCTTACACGGAGAGAATTTTCTCTCAAGATTCATCCCGAGAATCATGTAATCGTGGGACAACGTGGCATTTCCAAGAGCTTTGCGAGCGGCTTCTGGAACTTTTGCCACACATCTTACTAGTAATTATACACGGAAAGAAAATGCCGTTGAATTAAACAAAAATGAAGTCGCTTGAATTTAAACGTTAACGTTTAACACGGGCTGCCACAAATAATTCACTCGATTGTATTTGCCATGGATTTTGATTTTATGCATCGAACTAAATATTCAGATTATTGAGACAACTACCTAATGTTTCTCATTCATTAATACTGATGTCGTATCAATTTTTATTATTTTTTATATCACGATTTTATTTCAATTACACTGATCTTGTTACATCATTTTTTCCCGTGTACACATTATACTAGTAAAATTACTAGTAAAATGTGTGGTCAAATTTTCAAAAATTGTCACAAAGTTTAAAGCGCGACGTTGTCCTACGATTACATGAATTTCAGGGTAAATTCTAAAAGAGAATTCTCTCCGGGTAGTTAAACAGAGATTAATCTGCATTGGTAAAAATGGGCATAAGATTTGTTCCATTTAAAATCGTATTGTATCGATGTCTTGTCATGTAAGTTGACTGCGTCCGAGCGATTTACTTCCTATTGTTAACATCGCGTTGTAATCAACACTGAGAAAAAACTGTCCGATTAAATATAATCGGATAATCCAATTACATAATAACAAACGGATATATCCAATTAAATTGTATATCCGATGAAAAAGATAATCGGTTTTTTGGTCAAATTTCATTGGTAACTGCATTTCATCGGATAAATTTCATCGGATGTATCCATAATTTAATCGGAAAAATTAACCATCGGAAACATTATTTAATTGGTTTATTCTATGAAAATTTTTCTCCGCGAAGCTTTCGTCTAGAATCGTGTCGATTAAGCAAGTTTATTCGCACCGCTACAACGTTCCTTTGATCGCGCGTTTATTTCTGTCAACGTGGTTTGACTTTCATCACGAGTCACCTTACTTTTTATCTTTTTCCGGTTCTGAGAGTTAGAAAAGGATAAAAAGTAGGTTAAACCCGAGATTAAAGTTGATCCACATCGGTAGAAATGCTGAGAAAAATGTCCGATTAAATATAACCGGATAATCCAATTACATAATAATAAATGGATATATCCAATTAAATTGTATATTCGAAGAAAAATATGGTCGTTTTTCGATCAAATTTCATCGTTAACTGCATTTCATCAGATGTATCCATAATTTAATCGGAAAACGTAATCGGAAAAATGAACTATTGGACACACTATTTAATTGGTTTATCCGAGGAAAAATTTTCTCAGTGTAGTGCGCATTGAGTGCACACTAACAATAAGGCCTGTTTATTGTCAATTTTTATACTTAACTTTGTCTTACACTTTGTCGTACACTTTCAAAGAATATTTAGTCGAAAAATGATCCGCATGGATGCTGTACATTTTACTGGCTACAAAAAGTAGCTCAAGAGATATTTAAGACGATCCTTAAATATCAGAATTGCCTGTAAACAGGCCTTAGTGTGCACTCAGTGCGCACTAATGCAAGCAACCGAATTCGTTATAAGGTTAAAGTTAAGCAACGTGTGGTGAAACCGGACTTAAGTCTGATCTACAGCGTGTTTTTTTTTCAATTAGAAATATTTTGTATAAGCGAGTCAATACGCTCAAAAAATTTGCCGACAATATACGATTGAACAACGTATAATGTACAACTTGCACCGAGAGGGAAACCGCTGAGGGCGTTGTGGTGTACAGATTTGCGGCATTACTGGGCATTAGTTGGGCATTATAAAGATAAAATAAGATAAAATAATATAATAAGATAAAGTAATGCCCACTGGGCATTAGTGGGCATTGGTGTACAAGATTTTGGTCAGCGATTTCCCCCTCGACTTGCACTTTATTAAATGTATTTTTTTTGCTGTAAAATAGAACGATTTTACGCAAAGAGCACATTGTGGATCAGGCTTTAAACAATTTTGCGCCTCACCGCGATGTGACGCGATGTGTGTTTCTTAGGACTGAAAATAAAGACGCGGCCCCCGGAAAAATGAAGGACGAGGCGTATAACAAAACGGAACGGAGCGCGCGAACTCCCGCGCCGCTTTTGTCTCCATTTAATTATTTTTAATTTGTTCGAGAACGGTTCAGACGCACCCCCCGATCGCCGTAATTTCGCCGTCGATCGATCCGGCATTCTTCTCAATCGCCGCGTTTTTACGGCGTTTAAGCACGAGTATACCGTCGCGGTCTCGCTCGCTCGCGCATCTGAATATGCAACGGCATCACGGCGATGTCGAAAATGAGTCGGTGTTGGGAAAGTAATGACGGGTTTACGCGGGAAGAGAAAGAACTGTGCTTTTATTATAAGACGCGCGTTTTTGCGACGGCAAGGGGGAGCGGATTCGATTTCGCGGAAAGCATAACGACACTGAGAAAAATGTCCGATTAAATGTAATTGGATAATCCAATTACATAATAACAAACGGATATATACGATTACATTGTATATCCGATGAAATATGTGATCGGTTTTTCAATCACATTTCATCGGTAACTGCACTCAAGCGGATAAATTTCATCGGATGTATCCATCGGAAAACGTAATCGGGAAAATTAACCATCGGAAATACTATTTAATTGGTTTACCCGATGAAAAAATTTCTCTGTGGAGCGAGCGCATCTCCGGAGCGCGTTCCGAGATGCAGAAAAAATGCGTTTTACATTACCGCAAAAAGATATACACTGCGTTTGCGATAAACGGCTTCGATTGACACCTCGAGGTTTACATCTCGACGTCTATTAAGCTGACACAGCCGCTTTGACACAATCGAATAAAACTTATACAGAAATTTAGTGCCCTTTGTTGCTGATGTTGCCCAATTCCTGTCTTTGTTGCTCCGGCCGATTTGGAGAAAATAGTGGCTGTGCTAACTTTAGATTAAACTATAATATTTTCTCCAAATTTAGATTGAAGCACAGCCATGAGGAAAAAATATAAAAAAACACGATACGATGTTTTAGAGCAAATTTGTTGCTAATTAGTTGCTCTGTCAGCTCAACAGACGTGACATCTTGAAGAGTTAGATGTGTTCGACGCGAAGAATTGGAAACTACATATGTAAGAAATTTATGAAATATAAGCTACGGCGAGGTAACTTGCATAAATTTGTCTCACATGAAATTTGATGGGGAGACTCTTTAAACAGTCGCTGTTTCTTTCATTCTCGTTGAATCTACGATAAACGGAGGCATCACTTTTTGGTCGCCTTCTTGAAGTTTGTCGTAGGATTTAAATTGTAACAATCTATTCGTCGTTTATAATTATTGCGCGTTAAAAACGACGCAATGAAAATAATTGAAAACCTGCAGCTTCTTCTCTTCTTTAAATTGATTTGTAATATCGATCGTTCGAATTTTGTTTAATTATCGTAGAATTCAAAGTGAAGTACCGATACTTACTTTTTTAATCTGACAATCTCGTGTTAAGCTTGCATTAAACGATAAAATCGCTCGCAACTCCGATCGCAATGAATTCGAACGCGATTTAAAAGTCAAAGCATTTTACGATGCTTTATGCAATCGCGCGGAGGCGAATTGACAGAAAAAAAACATGTCATTCCGTTTCAGTGTCGCTTTTGGCGAGGATCGCGGCTTCTGTTATTTTGCAGGCGAGATATACTCTTCCTAATCGCAAATCACGTGTACTCTCGAATGGCAAGAAGACTCGCGGCGCGTGCAAACGACGAAAGGAAAAGAAAAGAAGCAGACCGTATCTCTCATCAACTTGCGAGACGCAAGCGACTGCGGTACTTTCGTGTACTGCCACCGAAAAGTTTTTCGACATTGGCAACGGGCGCGGAATAAAGGCTAATCTACCATGTGCGTTTTGCGATTAGAAACTCTATCTTGTATAAAGGCCTGTGTCCATGATGCTAGAACTTGGTCCAAGTTCTAGTTCCGAGAAATTAAAAGGTAGCCAATCAACTTGCAGCTTTTATGGAATAGCTGCAAGTTAATTGGCTACACATTTCGCAAGACTATACCTTGGACCAAGGACACAGGCCTTAAGCAAGTCAATACGCTTATAAAAGAAATGGGAATACTAAATCCAAAGAAATCTTTTTCTTTGTATAACTCCCGCCCGATACTACGAGCTTACGCACGTCGGACTTTTCGAGGATAGTGTACGCACGCCGACGTGCACAATAGCGAACGTAAGCAGTCGTCGTGTCGTGACACTGCAATGGCACTTGCATATGCAGTACGTTCGCAGACTGAAATTATCCAGTGGCCATCCTCTCGCTTCGGTCCCTTCGCGCCCCCTTTTCTTTCCTTCCCCGTTCGTGGTCACCGGGAGGAAACAAAAGGAAAACTTCATTACCCTCGTCCGGCCTCGTAAAATCTTGGCGTCTCATAAAATCTACTTATGAAATCCTCGTGCGCGACGTGTCCGGGGGTTTACATTTTGTTAATTGTTTATTGTTTTATTATTACATATACAATATCACATAACGACTTTAGGCGAGTTATCGAACACTAAATTGCCTCGTACATTAAAAGCATTTTACAATTTCCAAACTTTACCCGTCGGGGAGCAACAAGCGCGTTAAAATCTTTACAGAAAACATAAAGGAAATAATTGCTAGAAAATT